GCCAGGAGCCAGGAGCCTCTTCTTGGTCTCCCATGCAGGTGCAGGGTCCAAAGGCTTTGTTCTATCATTGACTGCTTTCCCAAGCCACAAGCATGGAGCTGGATGGGAAGTGGAGCAGCTGGGACATGAACTGGCACCTGTAAAAGATCCCTGACCTTGGAGGTGGAGAATTAGCCAACTGAACCACTGTGCTGGGCCCCTGTTCTTGTGTATATAACAGCGCTGACCATTTGTAAGTGTGAAGTTGAGAGGCAGTGATTGGGCTCCCAGTGTGTCGTGTGTGTATGCCTTAGACTCCTGCCGTCTCCCCTCCTGGGCAGGGGGCCTCGTTCTCGCCCAGACACCTCACACAGGCAGATTCACTCCAAGGTTTCCTCTCTCTCCCCCATTCTTTTCTTTCTTTTCTATTTTGTGTCTTATTTTTCACTCAGCATGACATCTTTGAGGGTTATATTGTTGGGTGTAGAATATGTCAGAATTTTCTTTTTAAGGCAGAATAATACTCCTTTCTATTTTTACAGTGGATATTTGAGGGCTTTATTAACAAATTTCATATTTAATCAAAAGGCAGAGGAGTCCTCCCCACACTCTTCTGACTAAATCCTTTGAATTTTGATGTGTCCTGTTTTTATTTTAATTCACTTCAAAAGTTGCTTTCGTTTTCCAGAGACTCCTATGTTTTGGCGGGGACTTTCCTCACGTAATGTGACTGCGAGTTTTCAAAACACCTGTTAGCACCTTTTCCAAGATGCGCTAGTGCACACATTGTGTGGTGTAGCTCTGGACTGTGTGCGGTGGCCTGAGAGGAGCACTGCAGCATGCTTCTCCTGGGTGTTGAGTACCGTGTTCTGTGCATCTAAGAAGTTTGAAAATGTTGCTTCATATTCTTTCCTTTTCAAACGTCAGTAGAGAGGTTGAAGTATTTAAGTATTTATGCACTGCTTTGGTTGTCTTTAGGTGGTGGTGTCTCTGCATGGTGTAGGTGGTGCCTGTGCAGAGTGTTGGTAGTGTCTGTACAGAGTGTAGGTGGTGTCTGTTGTGAACAGTGTAGGTGGTTTCTGTGCACAGTGTAGGTGGTGTCTGTGCAGAGTGTAGGTGGTGTCTGTGCACAGTGTAGGTGGTGTCTGTGCAGAGTGTAGGTGGTGTCTGTACACAGTGTAGGTAGTGTCTGTACAGAGTGTAGGTGGTGTCTGTTGTGCACAGTGTAGGTGGTGTCTGTGCACAGTGTAGGTGGTGTCTGTGCACAGTGTAGGTGGTGTCTGTGCACAGTGTAGGTAGTGTCTGTACAGAGTGTAGGTGGCTTCTGTTGTGCACAGTGTAGGTGGTATCTGTGCACAGTGTAGGTGGTGTCTGTGCACAGTGTAGGTGGTGTCTGTGCACAGTGTAGGTGTCTGTCAGTGTAGGTGGTGTCTGTGCACAGTGTAGGTGTTCTGTGCACAGTGTAGGTGGTCTGTGCACAGTGTAGGTGGTGTCTGTGCACAGTGTAGGTGGTGTCTGTGCACAGTGTAGGTGGTGTCTGTGCACAGTGTAGGTGGTGTCTGTGCACAGTGTAGGTGGTGTCTGTACACAGTGTAGGTGGTGTCTGTGCACAGTGTAGGTGGTGTCTGTGCACAGTGTAGGTAGTGTCTGTGCACAGTGTAGGTGGTGTCTGTGCACAGTGTTGGTAGTGTCTGTGCACAGTGTAGGTGGTGTCTGTGCACAGTGTAGGTAGTGTCTGTGCACAGTGTAGGTGGTGTCTGAGCACAGTGTAGGTGTGTGACGTAGGTGTCTGTGCACAGTGTAGGTGGTGTCTGTGCACAGTGTAGGTGGTGTCTGTGCACAGTGTAGGTGGTGTCTGTGCACAGTGTAGGTGGTGTCTGTGCACAGTGTAGGTGGTGTCTGTGCACAGTGTAGGTGGTGTCTGTGCACAGTGTAGGTGGTGTCTGTGCACAGTGTAGGTGGTGTCTGACTGTAGGTGGTGTAGGTGCACAGTGTAGGTGTGTCTGTGCACATTGTGGTGGTGTCTGTGCACGAGTGGTAGGTGGTGTGTCTGTGCACAGTGTGGGTGTGTCTGTGCACGTGTAGGTGGTGTCTGTGCACAGTGTAGGTGGTGTCTGTGCACAGTGTAGGTGTGTCTGTACAGTGTAGGTGTCTGTGCACAGTGTAGGTGGTTCTGTGCACAGTGTAGTGGTGTCACAGTGTCTGTGCACAGTGTAGGGTGTCTGTGCACAGTGTAGGTGGTGTCTGTGCACAGTGTAGGTGGTGTCTGTGCACAGTGTAGGTGGTGTCTGTGCACAGTGTAGGTGGTGTCGACAGTGTTTGTAGTGTCTGTGCACAGTGTAGGTGGTGTCTGTGCACAGTGTAGGTAGTGTCTGTACACAGTGTAGGTGGTGTCTGAGCACAGTGTAGATGGTGTCTGTTGTGCACAGTGTTGGTAGTGTCTGTGCACAGTGTAGGTGGCTTCTGTACACAGTGTAGGTAGTGTCTGTGCACAGTGTAGGTGGTGCCTGTGCACAGTGTAGGTGGTGTCTGCACAGTGTAGGTGGTATCTGTGCACAGTGTAGGTGGTGTCTGTGCAGAGTGTAGGTGGTGTCTGTGCAGAGTGTAGGTGGTGTCTGCACAGTGTAGGTGGTGTCTGAGCACAGTGTAGGTGGTGTCTGTGCAGTGTTGGTAGTGTCAGTGCACAGTGTAAGTGGTGTCTGAGCACAGTGTTTGTAGTGTCTGTGCACAGTGTAGGTGGTGTCTGTGCACAGTGTAGGTGGTGTCTGTGCACAGTGTAGGTGGTGTCTGTGCACAGTGTAGGTGGTGTCTGTGCACAGTGTAGGTGGTGTCTGTGCAGAGTGTAGGTGGTGTCTGTGCACAGTGTAGGTGGCTTCTGTGCACAGTGTAGGTGGTGTCTGTGCACAGTGTAGGTGGTGTCTGTGCACAGTGTAGGTGGTGTCTGTTGTACACAGTGTAGGTGTTGTCTGTGCACAGTGTAGGTGGTGTCTGCACAGTGTGTGTGTAGCACAGTGTAGGTGTGTCTGTGCACAGTGTAGGTGGTGTCTGTGCACAGTGTAGGTGGTGTCTGTGCACAGTGTGGGTGGTGTCTGTGCACTGTGTAGGTGGTGTCTGTGCACAGTGTAGGTGGTGTCTGTGCACAGTGTAGGTGGTGTCTGTACACAGTGTAGGTGGTGTCTGTGCACAGTGTAGGTGGTTTCTGTGCACAGTGTAGGTGGTGTCTGTGCACAGAGTAGGTACTGTCTGTGCACAGTGTAGGGAGTGTCTGTGCACAGTGTAGGTGGTGTCTGTTGTACACAGTGTAGGTGGTGTCTGTGCACAGTGTAGGTGGTGTCTGTGCACAGTGTAGGTGGTGTCTGTGCAGAGTGTAGGTGGTGTCTGTGCACAGTGTAGGTGGTATCTGTGCACAGTGTAGGTGGTGTCTGTGCACAGTGTAGGTGGTGTCTGTGCACAGTGTAGGTGGTGTCTGTTGTACACAGTGTAGGTGGTGTCTGTGCACAGTGTAGGTGGTGTCTGCACAGTGTAGGTGGTGTAGGTGCACAGTGTAGGTTGTGTCTGTGCACATTGTGGGTGGTGTCTGTGCACTGTGTAGGTGGTATAGGTGCACAGTGTAGGTTGTGTCTGTGCACAGTGTGGGTGGTGTCTGTGCACTGTGTAGGTGGTGTCTGTGCACAGTGTAGGTGGTTTCTGTGCACTGTGTAGGTGGTGTCTGTGCACAGTGTAGGTGGTGTCTGTGCACAGTGTAGGTAGTGTCTGTACACAGTGTAGGTGGTGTCTCTGCACAGTGTAGGTGGCGTCTGTGCACAGTGTTGGTAGTGTCTGCACAGTGTAGGTGGCTTCTGTTGTGCACAGTGTAGGTGGTGTAGGTGCACAGTGTAGGTTGTGTCTGTGCACAGTGTGGGTGGTGTCTGTGCACTGTGTAGGTGGTGTCTGTGCACAGTGTAGGTGGTTTCTGTGCACTGTGTAGGTGGTGTCTGTGCACAGAGTAGGTGGTGTCTGTGCACAGAGTAGGTGGTGTCTTGTGTACAGTGTAGACGCTGTTCTCTGTTTCTTATATGATGATGGTGCTTATTGCTGAACAGGAAGTTTTGATAAAGGAGTTACTGGGATGGTATTACAGGATCAAAATTATTCCCTTTGTATTTTTTATCAGCCTCAGCAATAAACTGAGGGGGGTGGTTCTTAGCTCTTGGTATACAGCCGTGGTTCTTTAAGTTACTTGTGGATTTGAGTGATTACTGTGAAGTTGTATACCATTGAGCATTTGGATGTTAATGGATGATGTGTTTTTTCTGCTAGGATGAAGTCCAGGATTGTATTGGCCTCTTCCCTTGGCTCTGGTCTACACTGATGCTGGAAATTTACAAGAGCTCATGATTTAGGCTGGTGCTCCAGACACCCTGGTGCTAGCTGGGGGAGCCTGGGGCAATGTCCGCAGTGCCTTTGGGAGCCCAGGATTGCGTCTTACCATCCATAGTGCTTCTGTAGGGGCCCGGGATTGTGTCCATTCGGTACACAGCATCGTGGGAGGTGAGGTCAGAGCATAGAGGGCACCCGGGGCTGTGCCCATGCAGTACATGGCATCATGAGAGGTGGGGTCAGAGCATAGAGGGCTCCTGGTTTGCTGTTGAGATGCTGGGAACTACTGCAGTTCCTGCCACAGGGATCCCGATGGTCTCTGAGGAGTTCAGACTAGGACCCTCTTCCAAGGCCCCTCCAACCTTCCAAAGCTGTCACACTGAGGACAGAGACCCAGTGTGTGTATTCAGGACTCAGGCCATCGAGACCTCAGCAAGGAAGGGCGCCCCCTGCTGCCTCCCAGCCTGTATTCACAGCACCTGTAAGACAGGCTTTCTTGAGCCTCAGTTCATTTGTTTTTTGGAGAGGAATGTATGATCATAGTTATTTGAGCTGAATGCAGGGAGCTTAGGGTATGGAGCGAGCATGTCCGTAGTAACATTAGGCCTGCTGCTGGAGCACTGGCTGCCTGACCTCTCAGTGCTGTGTCTGTCTCTGACTAGGTACCAGCTAGAAGATGAGTCTGCCCACCTGGACGAAATGCCGCTGATGATGTCTGAAGAAGGCTTTGAGAACAACGAAGATGACTACCACACATTACCGCGGGCTCGGGTAACACGAAGAAAAAGAGGACTGGGGCAGTTTGTCGGTGGTGGATGGAGGTTCCTCTGTACCAGGTTGGTTGTCCCCATGGGCACAGGACTTCCTGACGCACTGAGGTTACTTATCAGCTTAGTTTGCATTGTGCTTAACTGTTGGATTGGAATAAAGCTAAGAAGGCTGAAAATGATGTCATGAAGAGTCGTAGCTGTGTTAGTCAAAGTAAGTAGGGCTAACCAAGGGGAGGGCCTCTCACAAGGTGACTGAAGTCATGTTCACTGAACCTGGAGGAATTCTGAGGAGTCGGTTGCACGTTGGCCACATGGAATAAGGGACAAGACTGAGTAACATCTTAGTGAACATAGCAGTCTTTTTATGTCATAAAATTTGTATGAAGAAAGCATGTCATGCTCAGGATTATTCTGCAGTTTCTGATAGTGAGTTTTTGACTTACTGAAAGTATTGTCTACATTTAGTAGTCACAGTGTGTGAGTGTTAGGTTCCTGATTTATCTGAAAGAGAACTTGCATTTCTGATTTACTCCCCAAATGGCTGCAACAACCAGCGGAGCTGAACCAGACCGAGAGCGTCAGCCAGGCCTCCATGGGGCGCGGGTGGGTGGTGAGCAGGTGTCCAGACCTTTGGACCATCATCCACTGCTTTTCCCAGGCCATTCACAGGGAATAGGATCAGAAGTGGATCAACCGGGCCCGGCGCGGTGGCGCAAGTGGTTAAAGGTCCTCGCCTTGCACGCCCGGGATCCCATATGGGCGCCGGTTCTAATCCCGGCAGCCCCGCTTCCCTTCCAGCTCCCTGCCTGTGGCCTGGGAAGGCAGTCGAGGACAGCCCAAAGCTTTGGGAACCTGCACCCGTGTGGGAGACCCGGAAGAGGCTCCTGGCTTCGGATCGGCATAGTATCGGCCCGTTGCGCTCACTTGGGGAGTGAATCATCGGACGGAAGATCTTCCTCTCTGTCTCTCCTCTCTGTATATCCGCCTTTCCAATGAAAAAAAATAATAAAAATAAATCTTTAAAAAAAAAAAAGAAGTGGATCAACCAAGACTTGAACCAGTGCCCTGTAAGATGCTGATGTGACAGTGGCTTTGCCAGCATGAGTACCTCAGGAACGATGGTCATTCCTTTCCACTGCATTGACTTTGGTCTGTCTGTGTGTGTGTTTGTCTTTGAGGCTCATTTGTTTATTTGAAAGGCAAAATTATAGAGAGAGAGAGGGAAAGACATCTGGTGGGTCATTCCTCAGATGGCCACCAGAGCCAGGGATGGTCCAGCAGGAGCCAGCAGCTTCTTCCAGGTGTCCCACATGTGTGGTAGCAGCCCAAGGGCTTGGATTTCCTTCTGCTGCTTTCCCAGGCCTTAGCAGGGAGCTGGGACAGAAGTGTTGCTGCAGGGACTTCAACCGATACCTTTTTGGGGATGCACCTCTGGTAGAAGCTTAGCCTACTATGCCACACTGCTGGCCTGTGAGACTATTTTAATTACTTAATAATGTGTAGTGACAGCTTGTTTTAGCTTTACATTACAGTTTCTTAATAATTAAGTTGACCATCTTCACATTCGTTTGTTCTTGTCACTGAATGTGTGACACCATTGTTGTAAAGCAAATATTACAATGAACCACATGAATTTTTGTTTACCAGTGCATATCAGAGTTAGGCTTACAATACATGTGGTCAGTTAGGTGTGCAATAGTATTATGTCTGGAAAATAGGCTACATGCCTGAATTTCAAAATACTTTATAGCTTAAAAAGACTTAACAAGAAAGTCGTGTTCTTCTGGCTTGTTGGAAGGTCTTGGCTCCAAATGACTACAATGGTTGAATTTGGGCCCGACTAAAGCCAGAAGCACAAAACTTGGTCTGGGGCTGTCCTGTGGGTGGCAGGGAGCCATGTGCTTGGCTCACCACTGCTGCTTTCTCAGGCACTTTAACAAGGTGCTAGATTAGAAGTGGAGCATCTGAGACTTGAACTGGCACTGGAAGGATGTTGGCACCACAGGTGGCAGCTCAGCCAGTTGTGCCATGGGCCTGGTACAAGTGGTACAAGGTGTGTATATTGGTTTTTTGGAATTTTCTGCACTGGCTGTCGTGTCACTTGCGAGCAGTGCTGGTTTCATGTCTTTGTTCTTGCTCTCTCTACATTTTTCCTCTGGTTTTAAGCAGCTGGCAGAAGCTTAGGGTGCTGTGTAGAAGGCGGGCTGACAGGCACCTGCCCCGACCAGTTTTAGGGAGGAAGCTCTCAGCATTTCAGCACACATGCACAGTTACTCATCTAGGTGTGCATGCAGTTTTCTTTGAGAAATCTGCACTGTATTGAGAACACAGCAGAGCATTGGTGGCAGGGCTAGCCTGATGGCAGTGCAACAAGAGGGGTGAGTGTGGGCAAATCAGAAGACAGATGGAGAATAAACGGAAGGAGCATCTTTAAGAGACAGGGGTTTGGGAAGGAGAGAGTAAAGTAATGTTTTTATTACTGATTGGGAATGAGTCCTTTGATCAAAGATGTGTTAGGACACAGAAGTAGACAGAAAAAAATATAAGAAAAGTTCTGCTTTGGTTGAGATCATCAGTGAGCAGTAAGGAACATTTGTATTTAACCTGGCATGGTTTTAGAACTGTTTGCCCATGGAAGAGCCTGTGCCATGACCAAGCTGGCATCCCAGTTGAGGGTGGCCCAGCAGGACTGTGAGGTAATGGACTTGTGGTGGACAAAAGGCTGCTTGGATAGCATTGTCACCACCAGTTTGATGAATGGCCTGAGGTTCAGATGTGGGTGTTTCCAAGTGAAGCAAGGTGGTCCACATGGCACCTCTTTGGAGAATCTGGGCGTTTTAACCACCATGCCAGCTCAGAACCAGAGGGCAGACTGACTGTTGGGAGAAGTCCTAGGGTGGAGACTTGTGAGCAGAATGGCCCTGGGTGCAGATGTGTGGTGTCACCTCCCAGGAGGCACATAAGAAGGAGGTGACTGGCTGGTGTTGAGAGTGGAGGACTCTGGGTGGCTCTGGTCACTGCTGGGCATGGACGGTTCAGTTGAGTGGTGTGCACTGTGGAAGGGCATGGCGTGTTCTGAAGTAATGCTTACCTGACCACAGTAGTGGCAGTATGATGCCAAGAATCACAGACTTTGAGTGGTTGCCTCGTCATAGTGCTAAATATGTTATTCTTTTTTTTTTTTTTCAAAATGTTATCTTCAACAAGTAAAAATGTAATTATTTAAAAATTTTTTACTTGTGATTTATTCTTTTTCTTAAGGAATATGCCGAGAAATATTTGAAAATGTACATGTTAGCAGAAGCTCCACGTGTGGGGACCTTCATAGAGCGAGCACAGTCAGACACACTGGAGGGTCCCTGAATCTTGGTCTTCATGTCCTGGTGGGCTTGGTCAGGCGTGGAGGGGCTCCTGCCCAGGGGACAGAGGCCAGCTGAGTCTTAGTGAAGTGAGCTGTCCTGTTCGTGTCTGATACGTAAGACATTGCTGAGATTTTGAAAAGTGTGCCAAGAGAACCGGTCAGATTGGTCTGGTTTCTGTTTTTATTTCCTAATACCAAGCATTGTAAACATTTGTCAAAGAGAAGAAAATGCATAAAAATGGCTTAATTAAAGGAAGAAGGTGTTAGTTGGGATTATAACTCTTGTAGTGTAAATTGAGTTATAAATATTCATTGTATTTCAGTTTGTAGATTATGCGAGTAGTAGAGTTTTAAAGGTATTCTTGTTTTAAAATATTGTTTATGTATTTCTAAGGCAGAGAGACGGAAAGAGACCGAGACCTTTCACCTGCTGATTTAGTCCCCAGTTGCCTACAAGAGCTGGTGCTGGGCCAAGCCAGAGCCCAGACCTTCACCCAGTTCTCTCATGTAAGAGGTGGGGGCCAGCAGCTCGAGGCATCCATGGCTGCCTCCCAGCCCGTGAGCAGGACGCTGGACTCATAAACAGAGGGCACTCCAGCCCAGGGACTCTGTGCCAAAAGCCGGCCTTGAAAGGTTATGGCCTAAGACTTCATTGTTATTACTTGGTGAAATTCTGGTTTGGACGCTGAGAAAACTACTCTGAAATACAACTTTTGAAGCGTTTAGCTTTACGGATACAAAACTGATCCACCTTCCTGTTAGTTATGAGTATCCTTGGTTATAACTCTGATCTAGTGTCATGTGATCTGTGATGTAAAAACACCTGTTGCCAGGAAAGTGGAACTTGTGGGGGCAGGGAGTCTAGTGGGGGATTGTCCTTGTGTCCTGGGGCCTCTGCCCTCAGCAGCCTGCAGAGCAGCCGGGGCAGCAGCACAGGGAAGCCTGCACCTTTAGACTGTGCCATTGGGAGATGCAGCACGGGTCTGGGTTTTGACAGGATCTTGACATAGGAAAATGCTTTATTTGCTTTAGAGTACTACTTTGATTATGCAGACATTCGTGAGAAGCTACTAATGTAAAACATTTTGAAAAAAAATCATTTCTGCACTATTGGATTTCGTTTCATTGGAACCTGACAGTGTTAAGGCAATTTATATGCAAGGATGGGTGTGTCTTTCTGAACAGTCAAGTATGCCATGTACCTGAAAGTGCTGTTAAGCAGGGCTGTTGGTTATTTTCTTCCCAGAACCTCTCTGGTCTGTCCTCCGGTTTTTCCTTGTTTGCCAGTGCTTCATACATTCCTTTTCTCTAAACAGTCTGCAGTCATTTTGTCTTCCTCATTAATGGTACACAATCGAATCAGGCATTTACACACTTCCTGTGTTGCGGTTCATTCTCTCCCTGCATCCCTCCACCTTTCTTTCCTTCCTTTCATCCATCCATCGTCTTTCCATCTATGTGCCTTAAACAGAGAGAGAGACAGAGAAGCTGCATGTGGTAGTTGACTTCCCAAGCAGCCGCATTGGCCAGAGCTGGTCAGGCCCAAATCAGCAGCTTGAAAGTCCGTCTGAGTGTCTCTTCTGAGTGGCTGGGGCAGCCGGTGGGGTCCCCTTTCCCTGCTCTCCCAGGTGTGTTATCAGGGAACTGGATCGGGCAGGAAGCAGGCAGGCCTCTGACCAGTGTTGGTGTCACTCGCAGTGGCTTAACCCTAAGCCTACTGTATTTTCTTTATTTCTAGGTTTAATGTCCTTCACTGGAAGCAGGAAAGCTAACTGCCTCCCCATAACGGGATTTCCTGTCTGTAGTTCCAGGGGAAGCCCAGGCCTTTTCCAGTCTCCATCTGTTCACCCTGTGTCATTACCTGCAGCCTGATGGTAGCGCCCTCACCTCTGAGTCTGTCTACGCACAGTCAGTCCTTTGGTCATAACACCTGTAAAAAGGTGTTAGTGCCACAGTGGTGGGAATAGCTTTATTACATCTTGGAAGTAAAGAGATCTTGCATTTCTGAGTGGAGGTTCTAGAGAAAGGAGTGGGGTATAGTGTGTGTGTGTGTTGGGGCTCATAGCCAGGCTGGTGCCAGTGAGGCTCCAGGCTCGTGTCACGCAGTATGATGTGGCACTGCAAGATGAGCCTTTCTGTGTCAGGCGCACTGGGAGTTGCCAGACGTCTGGCCTTTATACATGTCTGTGTTCAGATACTTAGCTTTAAACACTGTTGCATCTTGGATTTGTTTGACTTTTGTGAATTAATGATCATGTTAGATAATTACATATCAGGAGACCAAAATTCATATCTGGATTCATCCTGAGGAGTAGTTGTTCTGGATATACCAAGGAAAGCTGTGTCCCCTGTGGTACCTACTGGAGGTGGCAGTGCTGTTCTGTGCCACCCACGAATGATGGGACTAGCCTGTATCTTGTGTCTGGGTGGCTATGTGACCAAGGAACTAGGGCTCTCATTTCCACTTCTGATCCAGTTCTCTGCCAGTGTGTCTTAGAAAGCAGTGGAAGTGACCCAAATCCTTGGGCCCCTGCACCATGTGGGAGACCTGAAGCAAGCTTCAAACCAGCTCAACTCTGGCTGTTGTGGTCATTGGGAGTGAACCAGTGAATAAAAGATTCTCTCGTTCTCCCTTCTCTCTGTAAATCTTTCAAATTAAAATCTTTATTAAAAGTGAAAAGAGGAATTATTTGACCATACCCTCCAAAAAAATCAGCCATAATGGAGATTTTTCTGCCTGTGTCTACTAGCTTTGGTGGCACCTAGGCTTGTACCGTTGCATCCTTGAAAGCACTCTACAGGGAGTTTGTGGGCTTATGGTTTAGTAAGTGATGCTAAGTAATGCCAGGAAATTGCCATTCCTGTAGAATTTGGTCCTCTTTATCCACCCCTGTTACAGCTCGGGGTGGTGCACATGGGGCCAGCCTTTGGCTGCTGTCCCATTCCCAGGCGAGCTTCCCAACACAGCGGGGGTCCCAGTCTTGTGGGCACTGGGAACAGGAGATTGGCTGTCTCTCTAGCCAGTTTCCGCACTTGCAGGTGGGTTACTAGCATGGCAGGAGCCAAGTGAGTGTCCAAGAGGTACGGTCCTCATTTCCCTTCATGCACACAGTGCCATGGGCAGTGCTGTTATGTGGCAGCTGTGCCCAGGTTTGGGAAGTGGCTTTTCAATGTGGGAAACAGTGGTGGTGGGCTGTGCAGTGACCGCCCTGGGGGAGGTGCTGGGATGGCTGTGCAGTGACCGCCCTGGGGGAGGTGCTGGGGTGGCTGTGCAGTGGCCACCCTGGGGGAGGTGCTGGGGTGGGCTGCACAGTGGCCATCCTGGGGGAGGTGCTGGGTTGGCTGTGCAGTGGCCATCCTGGGGGAGGTGCTGGGGTGGCTGTGCCGTGGCTGCCCTGGGGGCAGTGCTGTGATGGGCTATGCAGTGGCCGCACTGAGGGCAGTGCTGGGGTGGCTGTGCAGTGACCGCTCTGGGGGAGGTGCTGGGGTGGCTGTGCAGTGACCGCCCTGAGTGAGGTGCTGGGGTGGGCTGCGCAGTGGCCACCCTGGGGGAGGTGCTGGGGTGGCTGTGCAGTGGCCACCCTGGGGGAGGTGCTGGGGTGGCTGTGCAGTGGCCATCCTGGGGGAGGTGCTGGGGTGGCTGTGCAGTGGCCACCCTGGGGGAGGTACTGGGGTGGCTGCGCAGTGGCTTCCCTGGGGGAGGTGCTGGGGTGGCTGTGCAGTGGCCACCCTGGGGGAGGTGCTGGGGTGGCTGTGCAGTGGCCACCCTGAGAGAGGTGCTGGGGTGGCTGCCCTGGGGGAGATGCTGGGGTGGCTGCCCTGGGGGCAGTGCTGGGGCTGGGCTGTGCAGTGGCTTCCCTGGGGGAGGTGCTAGGTGAGCAGTGCAGTGGCTGCCCTGGGGGCAGTGCTGGGGTGGCTGCCCTGGGGGAGGTACTGGGGTGGCTGTGCAGTGGCTGCCCTGGGAACAGTGCTGGGGTGGGCTGTGCAGTGGCTTCCTGGGGGAGATGCTGGGGTGAGCTGTGCAGTGGCCGCCTGGGGGAGGTGCTGGGGTAGCTCTGCCCTGGCTGCCCTGGGGGAGGTGCTGATATGGGCTCAGAGCTAGGATGGCAGTGCCCACTTGTACAGGACTCTGAGCATGGTTATGTCAGACTGAAATCTGTAACCATACGGTATAAGCTGTGTGTCGCTGTGTGCCCCTGTGTCTGGCAGGAGACACTTCCCTGGATAGAGCAGCTTAAGCTTCCCAACAAAGTACACATGATATGTCTCTTCTGTTTTTCGCAGCTGCTGTGATTGGCTGATAAATATTTGTCAAAGAAAGAAAGAGCTGAAAGCACGCACAGTGTGGCTTGGATGTCCTGAAAAGTGTGAGGAGAAACATGCCAGGAATTCCATAAAGAACCAGAAATACAATGTGTTCACCTTTATCCCAGGGGTAAGCTGCTTCTGTTACTGCCAGAGGGTTTTTCCTGTGGGGTTTTAGAAGTCACGCAGGAACACGTGTGTCATGTAAGTGTTTATAGCTGTCTTTCTTGCTTCGTGTTATAATCATATCACCAGTTATTTTCAATTAGATGTTAGACTAAATTTAAAGTCAGAAGTTTAAATATTTTACATCCTTTTTATTGATAATTCTTGCTCAGATTATAAACTGAACTTTTATGTATTGTGGAATAGGATAATTTTGCTTTCTGTATATTACAATTAGTCTAATGCATATATTTCTCTTTCTGAAGTGAGTAAATCCAATATTGTCAGTTTTATAGCAGAGCTTTTTTTATGTTCTAGGGTTGACTTTATTCTGTTTTGCCAGAAAAGCTCTTGATTGAGTGGAAGAAGGGCTGTCTCTGTGTGTCACGTGTTCATTTCAGCATCCGTGCTGACTTCTGTGTCGGGTGTCGGTCCTGTATTCCCACCCTGAGTCCCTGTCCGTTCACTGGCTAGCAGACACTTGCTATCCAGTGTGCCTTTTTATTAAAACACACACAAATCATGGCACCATAATGAAAAGGTATGACTAAAATGTCAGATTGTTTTCAAGGCTGGTGAGTACTGTTCTGAGTGATGCTCCCGTGTTCTGCCGGGGTCAGGGGTCGGCCACACTGCAGTCTGCGGAAGGCGCCACGCATGCAGTGCAGAGCCAGCGGTGCTGCTTGCAGCTGCTCAGCCAGCCCACGGTGTGGCCGTGTCCTCGGGATACCTGTTGATGTCTGCGCAGCCATAACCACACGCTTGTTCTTTTTTCCTTAGATTGTCTCTGAAATTAGTCTTTTCAGCTAAAATGTAGTATTTTAGAAACATTTGGTAATTACACAGTAGGAATTCTAGCCATTTTTAGTACGAATGGCAGTTTCTGAATTGCTAATAGATATAATTTATGCTAACTGAGATTTTAAAGAATCACTGAGGAAAAAGGGAGCTTTCTTTCCTGCTGAGATTAATTTATGAAATAATACAAAACATTTTTAGACAGCAGTTGAACATGATTATGAATATAAAATGTAACTGATTTTTAGCTACATGCGTAACTTGGGGATGCTGCAGATAACTTCGTTATGTGACACCTGGCCCAGAACAGGTCAGCAGGGCACACTTGGTCCATCCTGGTCCATTGCTGAGCCTCTGCGGTCCCCCTGCTGCCCAGGAGCGGGGTGACTGATGGCAGTGTGCTGCGGGAATTACTTAGGTTATAAACATGAGCTTTGTTCCATTTGGTTTTTAAGTTAAATTTCCTAATTTGAGGCATTTGTAAGTAGAAGTCTGTTAATATACTGAATTTTGGGTTTTATTCCTTAAGATTACTGTCTTTGAATTAAAAAGCGAAGAAAACGTTTGATATTGGTATTAATAAGATTTTACTGAATGATGAAACTTAAAACTATTGTTAAAGACCAACTATTGGAGACAAAAGAAATTCAGGAAATTGTCTTCCCGAGAATCAGTCCATCATCTCACGTATTTTTCTCTTACATTTTGCATGTTTTGAGGTAAACCAGTACTCACAGAAGGCTAAAGCTTCTCTTGTGACGTGTGTATGTGTGGCTTGTACATGCCGCCTGTGTAAGGCAGGGCGTGCGCCTTTGACAAGTGTGACTAGCAGAGCTGGTAATGTGAATATGGGTCATGGGCTTTTTCGTTGTCAGGAGGCTGTGTGAGGCTAGGCCACCGCTGCCCTTACCGGGATCCGGCCGTGACTTGCTTTGAGGTGCAAAACTGAAATGTCGTTGAAGAAGAATGAAGTCATAGAGCAGGACACATTTGACATAAGTGAAAGTTTTTCATTTTCTTAGTTCATTCTGAACGTCCCTTGGGAATGACGTTCCTTTTCTTTCCATGTGGGTAGCTGCTGGAAGGCCAGCTTCAGCACTCGTGACTTCAGTGTGTGTAGTCTCACTGTTTGTTTGGAATGTACTTACATGCTGTACTTAATTGCGTTATTTTTTTTCTTTGAAAGGATTGTGTTAATTCTTTCATTTTCTTTTCAGGTTTTGTATGAACAATTCAAGTTTTTCTTGAATCTCTATTTTCTGGTGGTGTCCTGCTCACAGTTCGTGCCTGCATTGAAAATAGGCTATCTCTACACCTACTGGGCGCCTCTGGTAAAAGATTAAGATTAAATGTCTAAATATTTTAGAATGTAGTCTTAAGCCTTCAAACAGTGAAGAGATGAGTTAAACTAGACACAAATGTGTTGCTGTTGCTTGCAGAGAGTCACTGGGCATGGTGATGCTGAATTTCCTCAGGATATTCCACATTTTTGTGCCCTGCAGAGAGTGGAGAAGGCAGCTGCTGCTGGGACACCCCCAGGGCCTGTGGGTCTACACACACACACACACACACACACCCTCCCTGCCAGGACACCCCTAGGGCCTGGGGGCTGCACACACACACACACACACACACACACCCTCTCCCTGCCGGGACACCCCCAGGGCCTGTGGGTCTACACACACACACACACACACACACACACACACACACACCCCCTCTCCCTGCCGGGACACCCCTAGGGCCTGTGGGTCTGCACACACACACACACACACACACACACACACACACACCCTGCCGGGACACCCCTAGGGCCTGTGGGTCTACACACACACACACACACACACACACACATGCAACCTTCCTACCTACTAATTCATTTCCCAAATGCCTCACGCAGGGACTAAGCAGGGATCACCACTGGGTCTAAATCGAGCTGTGTTCCAGGGTGTGCAGGAGCAGGAAGTGCGGCTGGGAGCTGAGCGTGGCCTCTAACCCAGTGTGCTGAGGCGACAGGCCTGCCGTGTGATGTGCTCATCCACCTCTGGAAGACTTGAGCTCCTCTCTTACATCCTGTTGTTCTGAGTCACAGTAAGCAGCTGCCTCAGGAGTCCCAGGAGAACGGCAGAGGAGCCGAGCCCTCCCTCCCACTTGAGGAGGCTTGTCAGGGCTTTCTGACACCCACGGGGAGTTCCCCCTGTCCTTCCCCCTGTTGGATTTCAGAACTGAGTCACTTTTAAAAGCAGTTTTCTTCTGTTCTTGGTTTGGAAATAGCCTAGATTTATGCCTTCTCAAGAAATATGCTGAATATTGATGATCTATATGCTTGCACTGTTAATATGCTTTTAACCTTTGTTTTAACTGCACTTAAAAAGTTGGTGTGCACATTAAGATCACCTCCACAGCCAAGAAGCAAGGTTAGGGTTAGATCCAAATTCAGTTCAGATTTTTTAAGCTTCAAAAACTAGACATCCAGTACAGACTGTTTTTTATTAATCTAGGCAAAGTTTAAAATACTCAAACATAAACTTCCTAGGAAAATATCTTTAAAGAAGTTAGTTTAAAACGATGTAGGGAGGTGTCTCTCTTAACTGAGGAGGAAGTATCTGTCAAGGGCTTTTTCACCAGCTTTGCGGTCGTGCTATCTTTGTGGTGGTTTTCACAGCGTCCATTTCCAGGGCTGTGACAGCCCATGACAGTCCGTGTCAGCCTGTGATAGCCTGTGTCAGCCCGTGACAGCCTGTGACAGCCGGTGTCAGCCTATGTCAGCCCATGACAGCCTGTGTCAGCCTGTGACAGCCCGTGTCAGCCCATGACAGCCCATGTCAGTCCGTGACAGCCTGTATCAGCCTGTGTCAGACTGTGTCAGCCCATGACAGTCCATGTCAGCCTGTGACAGCCCGTGTCAGCCTGTGACAGCCCGTGTCAGCCCGTGACAGCCCGTGTCAGCCCATGACAGCCCGTGTCAGCCCATGACAGCCTGTGACAGCCCGTGACAGCCCGTGTCAGCCTGTGTCAGCCCGTGTCAGCCTGTGTCAGCCTGTGACAGCCTGTGTCAGCTTGTGTCAGACTGTGTCAGCCTGTGACAGCCCGTGACAGCCCATGACAGCCCGTGTCAGCCTGTGACAGCCTGTGACAGCCTGTCTTCTCTGCATGGGTGGTTTTTGGACACCTTCTTTTTACTGCTCTCTGTGATTCTGTGGGGTTATTAGTCAGTTGAAATTCACAGATTTATTTTAGCCCAAAAACCTAAAACAACAAAAGAGAAAAAACTGCTATAAAATCCAAGTTACTTCCAAGTTATTCTTTGTACAAACTGGGCGTGCTTTGTGATCTAATGACCTTCGGCAATGTCGTTGACTTCCTTTAACTCTGAACTAACTTTCGTGCAGTAGAAAACTGGAAACAAAGTGATTTCATTACCTTGTCTTATCTGGGTGAAGATGACCTTTCATATCATTCAGCTCTCAGAGCACTTTGCAGGTTTAATGCTTCTTCAAAATTAATAAGGTGGAATGAACCTGCTGAGGCAGAAGGTTGTTACGCCAAGAGAGCTCTGCAGCCGCATGTTCTGTGTGGAGTGTGAGATGTGTGGATGTGCATTTGGCAAGCAGACATGTCCTCCCTGCAGTCTGCTTTCTGACTCTCCACTGTGAGTGTCTGGAGGGCCGGGTGAATTGTCAGCAGGCCGTGCTGGCCAGTCCGAGGTGAAGTTCTGCATCTCCACATCTGTGCTGTGTGGGAGAAGGCACTTGGTGTAGTACACACTCAAAGAGAAATGGGTGATGGAACAATAGGCCTTTCCTCCCTGTACAAAAGTGTGGGTCGTTGTAGCGGTGGCCCCACCTGGCTGCAGAGGTGTCTGGAGACAGGCCCTGCGGAGCAGCCTGACTCAGCCAGATGTGGAAGCCAGGGCGGCCATTTTTGCTGTGGCTGTTCTTGTCTCCCAGCCTGGCTTGTCTGGCATGCAGTTCTGTAGTGTTTCCTTCTCTTGCCTGACTGTATTGAGGTAACTACTTCTGCAGTAAGACTTGCTTACTTGCCATGACTCCATGAACAACAGAGGTTGGAAACTCAACTCTGGTAGCAGAGAAGGAGTTGGTGAGGTCAGTTTGCTGTCCCTTTGGGCTCATGGGTCGGCTGTAGATCGTGTCTTTGGGGCAGATGAGCTGGTCACACCTCGTGGCTGTGGCTGAGCCCACATGGGTGTGATTTGCTTGGATGGACCTTGGCCTGCACTGGTCCCTGCTGTGGCTCCTTCACTCCAGCATGCCTTGCTAGGTCAGACTGAAGCCACGGGCCAGGAGCTTTCTCTGGGTCTTCCAAGTGGGTGCAGGAACCCAAGGACTTGGAGCATTTTCCACTGCTTCCCCAGGCACGTTAGCAGGGAGCTGGATCTGCAGTGGAGCAGCTGGGACTCGAAACTGGCACCTGTAAAGGATGCTGAAATCCCAGGGGGCAGCTTTTTTTTGCTGTGCATAGCACTGGCCCCATCCTGTTTTTGAAATAGTGAATGTCAGATCTGCCGACCACCTGAAAAAGAAAATGCCAGCCAAGTACAAACAGGCCTTTATTATGCAAAGAGAAGTCCATTCCTGGGCCTTTCCTGTGCAGTGGAGGAATGAAACTGGAGAGGACTGCAAGTGGGAAGGACATGCTGGGTAGAGGAGACAAAGGGTGCTGGTGTCAGCCCTGCTTGGGCTCTGAAAGGACAGGGATTGTTGGCCTTTGTCCATCATTGGCCCACACATGGCCTTGGCTGCGTTTGGGCATGCCAGATCTCTGGCTGAGGTCGCTGTGGTGCCCACCCACTTCCTGTAACCGCGGTAACCATCAGTGTACTTCACCGGACTTACATCACACCCCCGGTAACCAGCTAGATGCCTTCCCTCAGACACCAGGAGCCAGGAGTATCAAAAAGAAGAAATACGTAGGGGTAGATAAGCTAAAATGCATAATTATAAATTGCAAACAACAGAACACTTTGGAAAAAAAAATAAGTTTGAAAAAACCAAAAATCATCCCATGCTCACAGGTTGGGGGACATGGATTCAGCCTAACCCTCTTCAGGAGTCAGCAAGCTCAGGCCCACATGATGGTTCAGTGGCTAAATCCTTACCTTGGGAGCACCAGGATCGTAGATAGGTGCTGGTTCCTGTCCCGGCTGCTCTACTTCTCATCCAGCTCCCTGCTTGTGACCTGGAAAAGCAGTCAGGGATGGCCCAAAGCCTTGGGACCCTGGAGATTCATGGGAGACCCAGAGAAAGCTCCTGGCTTTAGATCAGCCCAGCTCCGGCCATGGTGGCCACTGGGGGTGTGAATCAATGGATGGAAGATCTTTCTGTCTCTCTCTCCTATCTGTAAATATGCCTTTGCAATAAAAATAAAATAAATCTTAAAAAAAAAAAAAAGATCAGCGGGCTTCACCCATTCCTCCCAAGAAATTCACAAGGTGATCTCAAAATTGATATGAAAATGTGAAGGGAACCCATCATACCCAGCACCCTAGAAAAACTAGATCCAAGTTGTAGTGTACACAGTCACCTTGTTAGTCAAGATAGCACAGTTCTAGCACAGTTCTGATGTGGAGAGGACACTGACCAATGGGGCGTGGTGAAGGAACCTAAAAGAAGTTTATATGTATGGGTAAATAGATTTTTGACCAGGACATCAGGGTGAAGCAGCCATGGTATTTTCCATACTTGGCCCTTGCCGACTAGCATCTGCACGTGGAGGGAGCATGCTGGGCCCTCTCTCACATCCCCCTAAAGTTCATGAGGTGGGGCACAGATCCAGCCAGCTTCAGCTTGAGGGCACCTGAAGAGCTAGAAATCATCAGAAGTCAGATTGTAGTGAGATTCAAGCTTCTTTCAGACAGCATCATCAAGAAAATAAAAAACCCAGATGAGAGAAAATAGTTGTAAGCATACACTTAAAATTCACACATCTAACAAGCTGTTTGTTCCAGAATAGATCTAGAATGCTCCCAACTCTCAGTGAAACAGTCTAGTGGAAGATCAGGGAAGATGAAGAGACAGCTATAAGCACATGACAAGATGCTCAGCCTGCTGTGACACCAGAGAGATGAGTGCAGTACAGAAATCACGTGGAAGTGTTGGAGGACACACCAAGGTCGGGGACATGCCGAGATGGGGGCCCCTGTGTGGGAGGACATGCCGAGATGGGGGCCCCTGTGTGGGAGGACATGCCAAGATAGGGGCCCCTGAGTGGGAGGACATGCTGAGATGGGGGCCCCTGAGTGGGAGGACATGCCGAGATGGGGGCCCCTGAGTGGGAGGACATGCCGAGATGGGGGCCCCTGAGTGGGAGGACATGCCGAGATGGGGGCCCCTGAGTGGGAGGACATGCCGAGATGGGGGCCCCTGTGCGGGGGGACATGCCGAGATGGGGACCCCTGTGTGGGGGGATGTGCTGAGAACGGGGCCCCTGAGTGGGAGGACATGCCGAGATGGGGGCCCCTGAGTGGGAGGACATGCTGAGATGGGGACCCCTGAGTGGGAGGACATGCCGAGATGGGGGCCCCTGAGTGGGAGGACATGCCGAGATGGGGGCCCCTGAGTGGGAGGACATGCTGAGATGGGGCATCTATGGGATTGTGAAGTGGTATACTTTCTTTACCGAACAGTTTGGTTGTTTCTCAGGGTATTTCCTGTCCTTGGGACAGGCTGATGCATGGCTATAGAAGGTGGTCAGTGTAAAGGCCTAACGGGGAGGGATGCTGAGCCCTCTCATGACCTGGGTGGTTCTGTTGGTATGGTGCCCAGCTCTGAGTGACTACAGGAAGTGCATTGCCTGTTTTCAAAGGGTAGTGCTGTGGCCCGTGCACTATGAATCATCAAAGCTTCCATTGCAGAAAGAATCAGTGTGTGCTAAAGGACCTGCACCATGAGCCTGAGCTATCGGTTGTGTTCACTGGGCTTTCGGTACATGCTGGGGCCGTCACTTGCTGCTTTGGCCCAGGGAACTGAGGGTGCTTTTTGGAGTTGTGCTTCCAGGAATGCTGGAATTCGCTAGCAGAAATCAGATGAGCTCTTTCCCAGTGGTTCAGGAGTTTGTGTGCTGGGGTCCCAGGTGGTCTGTGCTCTGGGAAAGGGCCTAACGAAGCTTACCACTCCTGCAAGGAGAGTCTTAAGGGGACTGAAGACAGGCACAGTGAGAATTCGGGAGGGTTGAGGAGTTCCTGCAGCCTGGAGAGGCTGTGTCATGCATATAAGGCCGTATCGGCGATGCTAGTGGGGGGATGTTGGACCTGGGCTTGCGCCACGTGCTTGCCACCCAAGGATCCCTGGGAAAGAGGGGTGCATAGGCCATCCAGGAAGCAGCCTGGGACTAGGGGCAGAGTATTGAGAAGGGGCACTGAGCAGTGCTGGACGGAGTCACACTTGTGCAAGCTGGCGGTCACATGGGGTGGTAGGGACGTGGGAGGTCTGCAGGGAGGGACAGGTGAGGAGATGTGGTGGACTGGGAAGATGAGTCAGATGTGAGGCAGAGGCATTCATGAGGCCGTTAGGCCTGGGGCTGGAGACAAGTAGAGGGGCTGGATCTGGTGTGTAAGGGATGCGCTTCTGGGACTGCTGACTAGTGAGACTACAGGAAAATGGAGGCAGAGAGCCAAGATGGCTGGCCTGTCGAGAGAAATTGATCCAGTGTTCTGTTGTTGAAAGAGTAGGCTAGAAGGGCTGTAACTGACTTCAGTCACAATCTTACCGTTGACTGAAGTCAGAGGAAAAGTACTGGAGTGCCCATGCTTGCCACTGCAGACCCCGGTGTGTGCGGGCGAGGGTCAGTGTCCAGCAGCAGGTGCGGGAGCTGCAGCCCCTGGCCTGTGCGGGAGAGGGTCGGTGTCCAGCAGCAGGCGCGGGAGCTGCAGAGCCTGGCGTGTGCGGGAGAGGGTCGGTGTCCAGCAGCAGGCGCGGGAGCTGCAGAGCCTGGCGTGTGCGGGAGAGGGTCGGTGTCCAGCAGCAGGCGCGGGAGCTGCAGAGCCTGGCGTGTGCGGGAGAGGGTCGGTGTCCAGCAGCAGGCGCGGGAGCTGCAGACCCTGGCGTGTGCGGGAGAGGGTCAGTGTCCAGCAGCAGGTGCGGGAGCTGCAGACCCTGGCGTGTGCGGGAGAGGGTCGGTGTCCAGCAGCAGGCGCGGGAGCTGCAGAGCCCAGTGTGTACGTGTGCGGGAGAGGGTTGTTGTCCAGCAGCAGGCGCGGGAGCTGCTCTGTGTTCCTAAGTGCTTTTATTCTATTGAAGTGCAGCAATTAAGTATGATATTTTTATGTCAGTCATGGTTAATTTGATACTTGAATGCCTAAGTGTTCTAAATATAATTCATGGGTTTATTGAAGACTGCTAATTTCCTTTTTCTTTGGGTTACTAAGTATCTATTGATATGTAGCTTGAAGTACATATTTTGATGTGAACTTAGAAAGTTTTCTTAGGTAATTAAGAGTTGTAAATCTTTCACTAAGTGTTTCTTTAGAAACACTTTTAATTTTTTTTCATTTCATGTTTTAGAGTAATGTGAAAAGGTTCAATTTTCTAAAATACCTTTTTTGTTTTATAGGGGTTTGTCTTGGCTGTCACCATCATACGGGAAGCAATTGATGAATTTCGACGTTTTCAGCGAGACAAGGAAGTGAATTCACAACTATACAGCAAGCTGACAGTAAGAGGTTAGCAAGACTTTTTTAAAGAAAGATTTATTTATTTTTATTGGAAAGGCAGACATACAGAGAGGAGCAGAGACAGAGAAGAAGATCTTCCATCTGTCTGAGGATTCACTCCCCAAATGGCTGCAACAGCAGGAGCTGAGCCAATCCGGAGCCAGGATCCTGGAGCCTGGAGCCTCTTCCGGGTCTCCCACGCGGGTGCAGGGTCCCAAGACTTTGGACCATCCTGGACTGCTTTCCCAGGCACAAGCAGGGAGCTGGTTGGGAAGTGGGGCTACTGGGATTAAGACCGGCGCCCATATGGGATCCTGGTACGCATTTGGCCCAGCAAGACTCTTCTCACCCTAGGAATATTTGCTTGATGTGGTCATCATTTTGGAGTTAACAGATTTTGTCCTTGAAAACAATGTGCAGTGGCATGCTCGTCTAGTTTCTTACATAACGCATATGATTTGTTCTCTAGCTGCTTGGGTGTGTGTTTGTCAGTGCTTATACACACACATGTACATTTATATACACATGCAGGCACATGCTGGCACATGGATAGATACTGACAACTATTTAATGTGTTCTGTTACTCTGCTTAGACACCAGTGAACCACAGCTGACGTCTGCATTTGTTGTGGAAAACAATATCAAATACACTCATGTTGTCAGACATCTGTGCCCTGGCATACCTCTCCCTACATCAAGGGACCAACGACTGCCTGCAGCACCAGCATTCCCTGTGGGCAGTGCATCTAGTCATGGCTCTTCTACTTCCTGCTGGGCTCCCTGTTCACATGCCTGGGGAAGCAGCAGATGATGGCCCAAGTGCTTGAGCCCTTGTGTCTGTGTGGGAGGCCTGGGAGAAAGCTTGCCATTGCGGCCATTTGGGGAGTGAACCAGCAGATGGAAGACCTCCCTCCCTCCTTACCTCCCTCTTTCCTTCCCTCATTCTCTCCTTCCCTCCCTGTCTCCCTCTCTTCCTCCTCCTCTCTCCTTCCCTCCCTTTCTCCCTCCCTCCTTCCCTCTCTTCATCCCTCGTCACTTCCCTCATTCTCTCCTTTTCTTCCTGTCTCCCTCTTCTTCCTCCTCTCTCTCCTTCCCTCCCTGTCTCCTTCTTCCTCCTCCTCTCTCTCCTTCCCTCCCTCCCTCCTTTTTTTCCTCCCTCTCTCCCTCCCTCCCTCCTTACTTCTCTCATTTTCTCCTTCCCTCCCTGTCTCCCTCTCTTCCTCCTCCCCTCTCTCTTTCCCTGCCTCCCTGCACCTGAGGATCTAGTTTTCATTTAGAATCTTTGACACTTACTTCACTCATATTCTTTTTTCTTTTCGCCTCTCTTCATTCCACTCTTCTCATTTCCCTTCTGTTACTCTCCTCTCACCTTCCTTCCTTGGTTCCTGCAGAGAGAACAAGCTCCCAAATGCTTGTAGTATTGGACTTGGGCAGCAGCCAGGTCTACCAAGTGGGTGGCCGTGACGCAGTCCTGAGCCCTCACTGCTGCTTTGCAAGGAACTGAAATTGGGTGTGGAGCCGTGAGCCCAGCCAGACAACTTGATATAGGATGTGCTGAAGCCACTGTGACAGCATCCTTGTGTACAGAAGGAGCTGTTGACTTGACCTTCTGCCCACAGAGAGAAGGAGCAGTGTGTTGGGGAGTAGGGTTGGTATGTGCATTGAGCTTGCAGAGCTGGACGTGGGACAACCGAGCACGCACTCCTCACGGCCCCGCAGCTTTAGTGCGCAGTGCTGCGTGTCTCCTGTGGTATATACATTGACCTTGCAGAGCTGGACGTGGGACAACCGAGCACGCACTCCTCACGGCCCCGCAGCTTTAGTGCGCAGTGCTGCGTGTCTCCTGTGGTATATACATTGACCTTGCAGAGCTGGACGTGGGACAACCGAGCACGCACTCCTCACGGCCCCGCAGCTTTAGTGCGAAGTGCTGCGTGTCTCCTGTGGTATATGCATTGACCTTGCAGAGCTGGACGTGGGACAACCAAGCACATACTCCTCACGGCCCCCACAACTTTAGTGCGCAGTGCTGCGTGTCTCCTGTGGGTGCACGGATGTGTGCAGTGAGTTGCTGCTTCAAAATAATCCTTTCTGAAATTATGATTTCTAATAATTTGCTGGCCTATGTGTCACATCTTATAAAATCCATACCCTGGACGGATACAGTTAAGTGGTATTTGGTCTTTTCATGAAGTAGTGCCACCAACAGCAGCATCTAATTCTAAAGCAATTTTAACATTTTTAAAAAAACAACCCAGACTGCATCCCTGCCCCTTGCCCCTTCTCTGCATGCTGCACCCTGGGTGACCACTATACCCCTTTTGTACCCCTGGCTGCCTAGACCGCTCTGTGGTATGAAATTGCACATTTTCAGCTTGGCACTCTCTCAGGGCTCTCCTGGTGACCACGTCTGTTAGAGGGCACCTGTGAGGACCGCTCTGTCCCGCTTATCCCTTCTTGCAGTCCTTCACACATCCAAGGAGGGAGGTGCTTCAGATACTGTATGTGAAAGAGCCACAGTTTCAGAAATCAATTAGCCAGCAACAAGGCCTGTAGCAGAGGGAGAAATGTCTGACTTCCACAGAAATACGCAAAACTCAGGAGGCATGCAGCGGCCCAGGAAGCTCGTGAAGATGGCATCTGGGCTCCAGACGGTGGGCTTACTAGAGCAGAGTTACGTGTCTTAGATATGATGAAGGAGCTGAAATGTACTAGCTCGAATGACGTGCAAACAGTACATCATGCTAGGACACATTAGAATTCAAGTTGCAGAGCTGAAAGAGTATGAGGGTTCAGTGGCAGACCAGAGCAGGCTAAAGACAGACTCAGCGAACTGGAGGTCAGTGAAATGATCCCATGGCACAGCAGAAAGAATGGAGAGGCCTGGAAGCATGTGGAAACTCCAGGGACTTCCGTCCTACACATGTTGAAAGTCCTGTAGGGGAGGACCCCTCTATGTGCAGTGGCCAGAGACTCTGCCATCTGACAAAAGACAGGAGTCCACAGAGTGCAGTGGGCCCTGGCAAGGAGAAACTCAGGACAGCTCTCGGAAAGCAGCTAGAGAAGCAACTGTTGGTCAGGTGTTGCCTGCCAGTGAGAGATCTGAAGGGTATTGGTGACACCCGCACGGTGGGGAACAGGGGTAGGCAGGAGAGGTGCCTGTGCTGCATGTTGGAGAGCCTCAGTCCCAGCCCCACTTGGTGCAGATGCTGGGAGATGTAGTGACAGGTCAGGGGAATGAACTCTTGCCACCGTGGGGGACCGGGATTGAGCTTCTGGATCCCAGCTCCAGTATAGCCCCAGGCTTGGCCAGTGTGGGCACTGGGAAATAAACCAGCTGATGGAGGCTCTGTCTCTCTGCCACTCAAAATAAATTTTGTAATTACTTTTGAAATGGTAAAAGGAAAAATTGTCAACTAATTTGTCCAGTAGAATTTGAATGAGAAATTAAGTAAACAAAACTAGTAAGTTTTTACATTAGGAACATCATGAAGAAAGTGAAAGCACACTTGTGTGGTTAAATGTGTAAATCATGTATTGATACGGGTCCAGTCCTCAGAAGATGTCAGGAAGCAGAAGATAACCCAGTTAAACAAGGGCATTCTCCCAGAAAGACACCCAAATGAGCAGTGAGCGGGTGGACAGTGCTCCTCTTGGGAGGGCGGGTCCTGGTCACCATGAGCTGCTGCTCCAGGTCCCTCCAGGTGGGATGGCATTAAACAGACATCTGATGGGTGGGTGGGGCGTTCTGTAGAAAATGCAGGGGACATGAGCAGCTGCACAAGGCATCCTCACAGCACCTCAGAGTCACAGGGTTTAAAACAAGAGTGCAAGCAGCGTTTGCCAGTGTTGGTCATCGTGACACTGCCTATTTGCCATTGGGTAGGTACGTTACTTGTTGCAGTTGGTTCTCAGCTCTTTGTTTGCAGTCACTTGTGCCACTCCCTCCAGCGAGTTCCAGGTCTGGGTTCTTATGTTAGACTTCCACCGTGTTCTCCATAACCCCAGCTCCTGGTTCACCAGTCTCCACCTCCTGTGATACCACACTGAGGCTGCACCATTGTCTGTACACCTTTCTCCCACTTCGTGCCAGAGCAGTTCCCGGCTGTAGCTGTTAAAAATGGGCCGATTTTCTTGATTTTCTTCTGCTTGTGTTGTTAGTTCCTAGATAGCCCATAGATTTTTGTATGCAGATTTTGTTGTCTACATTTCCTCTAAGTTGTTTCTGGTTCCCAGAGTTTCTCAGTGGAATCTTTAGAGCTTTCCACATACTGGATTATGTTATCTACAAGTAGAACTTTTGCGATGTGGTGTCATTTTTTGTTTTTCCCACTTGATTGTTCTGGCGTGGACTTGTGGGAGTATATCAGTAGGAATGGTGCAAATGCACTTCCTTGTCTGGTTCCAGATAGGACAAGTTTTCTGCCCAGTGTGCTGGTTTTTGTTGTGTTGAGATGCACTCCTTTTGTATCTGCTCATTGGGGTTTTCTTGCCATGAGGTTGTGCTGGTTTTTGTTGAATAGTTTTTCTACGTATCTTGAAGCCTTCATGTTGTTTTTGCCCTTCGTTGTTGGATTTGATGTGTGTGTGGTCCTGGGGTGACCTTCCTTGAGTTTCCTGGATGGGTACTTCCTGTCGGGCCTCTGCTTTCCCTGCAGCTGCTCTGCCTGTCCACTTCATGGTGGACAGCAGTTCTGGGAGTCACATGGTACCTGCCCTCCCACCAGGTTGCTCTGATATGGGCAGGGGTGCTTCAGGGAACTTCAGAATCATGTGTAAGTTTCCACAGCAAGCCTTCCAGGATCTCAACTGGGAGTATGTTGGACCGAGGGGTTAGTCTGGGGGAGAACTGGCAGCGCACAGCACCAGGTGAGTCCCAGGAGCCAGGAGCAGGGCAGAGCTCTCCCCATGTGAATTGCTTTTGAAGGTTCCCTTGGTAATACTGGCTGCTCTTAGGGTTTCACTGCCTTCTTGATGTCTTCTGATTTTGTTGATTGTTTTGAACAATT